ATTATCAAAACTTTCTAATTTTTAATGATATGTCATTCTGAAAATTCAGTTAGGCAAATCTCATCTGGTGCACATTTTGCTAGTAATAATGCAAAATTCTGAACGTTCATGCTGTTGCTACCTCAAGTTAATAGATGTTAATTGGAAGGGAAAAGTGGTAAGGAAATATAATTAGTGAAAGGAAACAATGACCTTTTATAAATGGATTCCTCACTTCATATGATGTTACTGTATTGTAAATCAGTATCTCACTTCTGCACATTGTGTCCCTAAATAAAAGCATCATATACTTCATTTGGGAGTTATTAACCACAGTGGACTTCCTAGAGGTAGGCTATTGATCACTTACCTTATTTTTTTAAATATATGTCAAGCTTATAAAGAAAGATGCATTTTACTTTAGACTTTTTTTAACATCTTCACTATTCTAACTTGCTGGCCTCCTCGCTCGTAATCTGTTTTGCTTGCACAGGCTATACCACTTTCTTCCTCTTGTATCTTCATGTACGTGCTCAATGACTTGCAATTTATAACAGCCATTATGTTTTGCAGTATGTTGCCTATAACTATGTTGCGATCTATTAATACATTATATTTGTTCACAATCACAAAGACAAGATGTCAACATGTCTGTAAAGCTGTCTTGGAAAGACTACTTAAATATTTAGCATGTTGTGATATTCATAAATGCAAAGTGGTGCTGAGAAAAACATTGCTTGGCCAGGTTTATTTGGAAGGCATAGTACTGTGTACTTAGAAGCAAGTATGTCTGCATGATGTTTCAGCTTCTTTTCTTACACTCTAGTTTGGCAGAGCACAAAGATATAAGAGTGAAGACTTGAGAGGAAACAGATTTTTTTTATTTTTATTTTCTGGTCAGGCATGACATAAGTAAACATTTTGAAATGAAAATTTTTAAAGCCCCAAGTTGCAATTATTTTCTGAAGTACCTGTTGTGGTTTCATTTTTCCTTAACAGCTATGTTTTCAGACTTCCCTTCTTACAGGCTTCATTGCAGGAGTACACGTTAGGTTTTTTGATTGTACTTCAGGGAAGGAAAAAGATGAACTCTTTGAAGGTAGAGGTGAATGACAGATCATTAGAAAAAAGACTATTTCCAACTGTAATTCTGTGTGTGTTACTATTATTTGGGGGCATTGTTGTCTCTTAATACTAGCAAGGTAGTGCCCATTCCCTCTGAGTCTGTAGTAATATTATGGCCCTGACCATAATATTCTTACATTAACCCCTAACCACTCTGTCTTTTTTCTGCTGATGTGCATCTGTTACCTTACATGCTTGTGGTGGCTTTGGTTATCACCCTGAGTCTGTTACCCGTTGAGTGCATTCTTTTGATTTAATTCTGAGCTAGTTGTGTGACAGATGCACAGAAGTAGGGAAGTGTTTTGAGTGTGTATATGTAAGAAAGCTCTGAATGAATATATTCAACCGTACACTGTTGCTTGGGTCCTGCTGTCACTAGCTCACTAAAAGTTCTTTGCAGAAGATAAAATCAAAGTTGTTCACTACCAAAATTTTGGTGCATTTGGATGACGAAAAGTAAAGAAAATGCCTTGTTGCATCTTTCAGCCATTTTTCAGTATCTGTTTCCAAAGAATGGTGGGGAAAATAGTAGAATGTGAAATGCACCGAGTTTTCATTTGCAGTGATGTTTCCTAATGAATACTGTTGCATTCCTAGGAAATTTCCTGAAGGTCTGTAGGAGCCGTTTGAGTGTACTGTATGCAGATTTGCTTTCCCATTCTGTTTCTCTGGAGAGCTTGCTTCTCCAGAGAGAAGTACCTTCTCGCTGAAGAGTCCTTTTGGTTTATGGACTTGCTCAGTTGGATCTATTGCAGATTGTATCCATCTAAATCAGTACTGCTGTATTCCCTCTTCCTCAGTGCTAATGCTCATCTGGTCCCATTCAGAGCTGGTGGAGCTTGCTAATGGGGGGGGGGGGGGAGCCCACCAAACACAACAAAAAAAAGAAGTTAACTCTTTTAATAGGTTAGCCTACTGTCAGGTTCCCAAGTCGGGCTGGCTCACCTCTACCAAGTTTCAGACTGGCTGTGCTGGTCTTAAGGAGGCAGAGCGAGGATTTGTGCCCACCAGAGAGGGTGGCAAAATTGCAGCAGCTCCCCTTCGCTCAAACTGCCTTAAACTTGTTGGAATGCTGTATGCCCTCAGTTTGTTTGTGCCAGCTGGGATTAATAATCTTATCAGATGGGATAAATCCATAAGGTACAGCAACCATTTTACTTGCCAGTATGTCATCTGTCATTTGTCTTCAGATAGTGCTTCTCTTAGATTAATGTGGTTAAGTTTTGTGAAGATAGTCATATATTCTCTACCAATGGCATTCAGAGCTGTGCCTTCAAATGGTACATGATTTTTTTGGCGTTTCTGCTTCTTGAATGGAAAATACACACCATTAGAGTAGCTGACCAGTCTGTTCATCAACCAGAAGATCTTTGGAGGAGTGCTCTTTCAAAACAATGACAGATACACCTCTGAGAGAACAAGTTCTTTTAGTTGCATGTGTATCTGTACTACATGTTGCTACATGCATTACTGTACTTACAGAAGAGCTCAGTTTTTCATGCCTTAATGTTAGTACTACCTTTTAGTACATAAGTGGTTCGGAAAATCTTGAAGTGTAGAGATTACTGAGGTTTTGAATTGACACTACTCACAACTGTTGCATTTTAAAAGCTGGTGTTTAAACAAACACACAAACAATCCCCCAAAACTGCCAGATTGTTTATACCTTAACATTTCTCACATAGTTTTGAAAGAGTTTTGAGTGTTGGTGAAATGTTCCCCTGGCACCTGTCAGTAGGGGAAAAAAAAGGATGTTTTTCAAAGGGTTTGAGCTTTGAGTTCAGTTTATCCTTATTTTAGGTGATGTATTTAATCTCAATTTAACTCTAGTAAAGAGTAGTACCAAGATACAGAGCTAGTCTTTGAAGTGTGGAGATGTATTGATTTAGCCGTAGAATTAAGATTTTGTTAAAGCCTTTGTAAAATAACTTCATTTGTGTATTAATGTTCGTAAAGTTTTAAAGAAATTGTAAGAGGAAAAATGCAACTTTCTGAGGACAGATAAAAAATGATCTAATGATATTTTTTAAGTACATATCTTTTTTTCTCAACAACTGTTGGGTGTAATGAGAGGAAGGGAGAGAAAATAGAACAATTAATGCACCATATGTACAAACCAAAAAAACAGTCTGTAGGTGTTATACTGAAAAAGGATTTGTTTTAGTCCTATCTTTTTTATGTAGTTAGCATTTACTTATTTGTTTTGCATTTTGAATGACTTGTATGCAGTAACGGATACTTGCTAATTGTTTTTAATTTTGAGCTAAAGTGTATATATATATGTGTAAGGTCTTTGTATCATTTTCAAACCCTTTCTTGCAGAAAATACTGTATGTTTCTGCATAGTTTAACCCTATAATATATATAGGTGATTTGAAATCCATCAATTATCAAGCAACAAAATTACACTACATCTTAATGATTTGGGGTTGTTTCTTTTGTAGAATAAATAAGCAGCTTCCCCTTCAAATCTGGCTAGGACAGCAGCTGCAGATGAGAATGAGCTTCCATATTTAATACATTCTATTAACCTCACACATACAAACACACACTCACTCACTCATGGACCCCAGTGTCGCATTATAGGTGAACAGGCCCTAATTAAAAGCACGCACCATCTGCCAGTGTGCGGCAGCAGGGTGGCACTCCATAACCATCCTGGTTCCTGTGATTGAAATGTATTATTTATGAACTCAAGGAGAAAATACGCTGCTTGGCTGGTGTAGGGTGCATTAGGAGCTGGATAGCACCATCTAATGGTATGGAGTTCTACTGACTATTCATCTTTCTTATACTTCTTCTCCCTTTCTCAGACTCCTCCCCAATTTTTGTATTTTTCAGCATCATCTTTGGAGTATTTTATGATCATGTTTCAGCCAATTTTGTATCTTGTGTTTCGCTTTTATGGCTGTTGAAATATTACACTATTTGTGGTATTTACAGCAGCATTTTTTTTTTCCTTCCAGCACTGCACATAAGGTTTTTCTTTCTGTAGTAAAAATGATACTGCTCTGATGTGGTAGAAAAGTGGGAAATTATCGAGGTAGCTGAGCAGGATCAGGTTACTGTTGTTTCTCCTACTCCTCCCATGCCTGTGTGTAATGAAAATGTCTACTGATCAGTCTGATAATTTTATTTTAATATTGAAATTTGCCCTATTTTTTATTGAGCAATACCCTACAGACTACATAAAGGTTCTTTGCTGTGTTGTAAAGAACAAGGAGAGATTCAGAGATAGCTACAGCTTTGGACCTTCCTTTCTGAAGGGATCATAACATCTTCCTACTTGAAGAGATTGTGTCCTGTTATTGCTTCTTAGTGGGGAAATGGACAAGGAGGTGTTCGAGGGATAAAATATGCTTTGTTAGGAGAGGAAAGTGGTGAGACAGGGAAGGAGCCCTTTTTATTACGGTTAGTCAGCTTACCTTTGTTGTATTCAAAACTAATAATAATATGTAATGCATTTAGTAGTTAGCTCAGTGACTTTTCGAGTATCCAGAATAAGAACTGTTGCACTGATTCAAAATAATTTAGGGGATGATTTTTTATTCTTAGGCTTGTTGTTATGTTGTTGAGCTTCGCAATATCCATGCTGAACATCCAACAGTGTGTTTATAGCGATAACAAGCAGTAAGGACTGGACTGATACGTGAAACATGAATTTTTTTCTACAATAATTTCCAGTAAAACCCCTTTTTTCTAGTTAAAGAATCTGGTCACTGTTTCAACTCAGGCAATACAAGACCCTGAATAAAAATAATTATGTATAAAACTGGGAAAAATTTATGACTGTGTATGTATATTAGTTTTAAAGATCAGCATGTCTTAAAGAATGTTGAAACATCATGAACTGTGGCACATCTATAAATACATGTCATCTTATTGTTTGTGTTTAGAACATATGCCATCAGAAGGATAAGAGATGCCTTCAGAGAAAACAAGAATGTAAAGGATTCTGGGAAAATAGAAGAACTACTGAATAAAGCCAAAGCAAACCTAGAGGTTATTCATCGGCAGGTATGTTTTGTTTATTTCATTTTATTTAAACCTCTTCCACTCAGTTAACTGCCTTACACCATTACAGATGGAAAAAATAGATCCTTGCTCAAAACGTCTTTAAATGAACAGTAGTTTTTGTATGTCTGAGCTTGAGAAGGTGGGAATCGTCTCTTTATCCATGATGGTTCAATAGGGGATATAGGGATGTTTGTTGCATTAACCGGAACAGGCCTTGCTGTCAAAAGTTCATATACTTTTCTGTTACCTTTTCTGCTGTTTGTTTTACTGTCTCTTCACTCTGTTTCTCTTCCTTTCAATCTTTTTTCTCTCTCTTATGTGTGTTAGATTCTTTTCCTCACACGTTCCTTCTTCCATCACAGGTTTAGAAGAGTCACTGTGACATTCACTCAGATTAGTCTTGCCTTCTGTATTTGTTTTTCCCCACCTCCAGATACAGTGTTAGAACAGTAGCAGAACAAGAAAATCTTAAAGTGAATTAAGTAAATCCTGGCTAAATATGTCCAAGCAATGGGATAGATTTTTCTTTGGAAAAAGTTGAGTCACTGGCAATATTTTTCACTTGACATTGTCTAAGTAGCATTTATAGTATCTCTGTTCTTTCCACTGGGTACCATATTATTCAGACATGAATTATACTTCATTGAACTTTACTTTATTACTTCTCATACATACCCTCTGTCTATCTACAGTGACCACTAGAAATTTGAAGAAAGCAAGTTTCTGTGCCTGAATTCACTAATGGCACTTGCAATGCTTAAGCTGTCCCTCCTTACAAAATCCTTGCTTCCTGACACCCATAGTATCACATTGAGCTCAGTAGTACTTTTATTAAATATGGAATTAATATGGGCACCTATTCCTCCATGGTCTGTTTTAACATTAATCTTTTAACAATCAGTAGGTCAGTTAGCTGGATTCTTATTTCAGGAGGAAGCTGGGCCCTTTAGTTTGGCAATTAAATGTGAATATTTTGGTGTGAGTTAAATTATTTATTTGAATTTTTTTCTCCCAGAAACAGATGCTGTTTTGTGCTACCATAGCTTTGCTATCTTTTTTTAACCCAAACACTGCTATTTCTGTATTTTAAAAGTTTCTCAAAGAAGCAGCTCAAATTGGATTTTGAAATGCCATGCAATTGTATTTCAATTTTGGGGTGCTTTTTTCTCATATCTGTTGGTGATGAGTAGCATTTTCTGCTCTTCCTTTTGAGGTTTTATCTTGGAGAGCCTTGATATCCAGTATTCTCCAGAGAAGTATTACAAGCAGAGGCTGGAGAAGACAATGAAGCAGGGAGTGTCACACGAGGAGAGTCAGAGATCACTCAGATCTGAGCTAGTACTTAGTTAATTAAATTCTAATCAGTAAATTTAGGTATGTAAAATATTTAATCAGTACAGACGGATTGGGGGTCAGTACTATTACTATACTTAATGTTAGTATAGTATACAAAGATTATCATTTAAGCTTACTATACATAATCTTAAATGTTGCATGCATGCAAAACAATGCAACCGATTGATGTTTGGTGTCAGGTAAGGGATCTCTCAGCCTTGAGGGGTAACCTTGAGAGATGACTCTTCTCAAGGGGAGATGACTGCTGCACAGCCAACTGCTCCAACTGAGGGAGAGCTCAATAGACCCTGGAGATATTTACAGCATAAAGTGGTTGATTTGTAGTCAGATCTGCTGTGTTAATGCAATTTCGGCTGCTGATTAGCCCAGTCTCCAGCCAAATTGTGGTTTTGGGGTTCTGGTGCTGAGTTCTCATGTAAAACCTCACCAAATAGGATTAACTTAGGTCAGGTGTACTGAGTACCTGCCTGGACCAAAGTCAGTTAGTTCCAACAGGAGGAGTGTATCCATCACAGCAGTGGCAAAAGATAAGAATACACAGGGTCAAATTTTGCCACTTAAAGAAAGCTGTATTAAAGAAGAAACAATTTATGAATATGGGATGTCCCATAGTAAAATGCTACAGAAAATCTCTTGTGGATTGTGGCTTAAGATAAATCCTGTCGGCATGTCAGAAAATGCTCTGTGATGATTGTAAGTAATCATATAAATACTGTATGTTTGATAAATGAGGAAAACATCAGTGAAGCTACGACAGTGACCATTTTGCCATGAAATTAAATGGATGGCTGAGGTGTACTAAATTTATTTTTGTTTTAAAATATGGTTAACTATGTGGTACCTGATACAACTCTTTCATAATAGCAAGTACTTCCTTTTTCTGAGAAGAGTTCAATTTCAAGGTGTCAAAGCACTTGAAACAGGTGGGAAATACTGCTCTGCTTTACAGATAATGTATCTGGGATGCTGAAATGAGGATGCTGATGTGTAGAACCTTAATGTTTGGGGTACCCTGACTTAAATGACAGTTCTTCCTGGTTCTATAAGCCTAAATAGTAAAAGGCAGTTCTAAGTCAGATGATAGGTACGTCTTGCTAAAATAAAGCTTTTCAAACTTTTTATTTGACAAAACATGGTTCTACTGATTCATCTGAGCCAAAATAAAACTTCTCTCCTATCTGAGTCCTGTGAACACCCAGATGACTCTGTTACTTTAAACCCTGAAAAAAATATACCATTTCTCTAAAAATGGTGTGGGCTCTTGACTCAGGGTGGACTCTTTTCCTTCTAGGTTGTGGGTCTGATCTTGCACATTTTATGATGCTGTTTGTTTTTTTTTAGCTTAAAGATTGTCCCTCGGCCTCAGATAGGTCTTTCAGCTGCCTTTGAAAGTGTAGGAAGAGCAGGCAGGCTTCACTAATCTCTGTCTGGTCTATCCACTCACTGTCCTTTGTAAAGTAGTTGGTCTTAAGGACTTTTTGAATTCATTGGTTGCTAGTGAACATTTTGATCATACATAAACATATGCATGTGCTTACACAAAAATCTCAACACATGTTTTAGCTTTGCAAATATAGAAAAACTAGTGTTTAATACATTATAATCAAAATGTTTTCAAGCAAATGACATTAAGTACCTGTCTTTCTGTTAGGCGTTTGTTACTTGGAAAGAAATTTCTCTGTGGAAAGAAATGCATTCTTGCTCCCTGTTTTAATTGAAGATCTAAGTAATGAAGTCATCTGACATTATGAAGACATTATATTTAAAACTAACCAAGCATAATAGAAAGTGATTTTATTTTTAAATGCAGAAGCACTGAAGTAAACATGAGCACTAGCATACTTTTACTTTTTTTTTTTGTTATGTTTGGGGTTTATTATGGTGCAGCGTGTCTTGGTAGTGCTGACTTTTTCATAGCTTGTTGATAGAAATTAAATAATATCCCACTTTGCTGACAGTTTGTTGTTACTCCAAAATCAAATTGATATTCACTTTACATTCTAATTTATGGTTTAGTCATCAAAGTGACCATTGAAGTGTAAGGTTCATAAATAACTGTGAATCAGCCTACTGAGAAATGTGAAACAGTGACAGATTACTGTCATTTTGTTCATGTCAGTCACTGTACAATTTGCTTGAATTTATAAAAGTAGCTTTATAACGCTGAAAATCATGGATGAGCATTAATTTCTGTCTTAGTCCTCCTCTGCTTGTTATTGGTTTTGATTTAAAAATGGTCTGGCTAAAGGAAGCAACAACTCTGATTCTTTACTCAACACTGTGAAGACTTCTTTTGTGTATGCTTACTGTGTAAGCAGCACAACTCATGGTGGCTTCCCTGTCACAAATAAGTTTGAAATAGAAAGTTTTTATAAGTTTTGAGGCTAAGTCTTGCGGTCCTTCAAGGATTATCGTAACAGCCATTCCCCAGCTATGCTAATATGCTTTCATTTGTGAGTTTTCATTACTACTGGAATATGCTAGCAGTAGGAGAATTTGCCTTGAAATGTTACTGCTGTTGCCGAGATTCACGATTCATAGAAGCCACTTTGAAGATAGGATAATACTGAGTGATTCGAGACATTGCTAGTTTCCTTTGTGGCATGTTGTCTCTCAAGTTTTGAACTGAAAGTATAAAAGTGAAATTCAAAAGTTGTGTTACACCTGTGTGCTCTGATTAAACCCTATTTTAATTTATAGAACATCTCACTCCTAAGTATTTTTCCACAGTACTTTCTTCTTAGTTTTATATTGTAGCTGGAAACCACCAGTCATCTTGTTGTCCAGATATGAAAGGTTATTTTGTTTTTCCTGGGAGCTCTTAAGGCTTTAGTATCAATTGCACTGGTTTTGACATCACACAACTACAGTACTCTTCAGTAAAACAGCTATAATATTTCACAGCCTTTGTTTGTCTCTTTAAATAATTCAGACTGTTATGAATCATGGTTTGCACAAACCTCTAGCAGAGAGACAAGAAATACACTGTTTGCAGTTACACAGTGAGGTCATGTGGATCTGCTTCCTTTGCAGCTGACTGGTCATCGGCATTTTCAAAGGGAACTATCTAAACTTTTGTATTTCTTTTGAGTTTGAGTTGACCTCTCTTACTGTTCCCTTCAGATGTGTAGAAGAATGCCGGAACATGGTTCTGAAGTATGAGAACTCTTATAAAGGTTCCACTGATAATGATAAGTATTGAGTACTTGCAGCATTTTTCATGTTTGCAGCATGCTATAAGTGCATCCTAATCTTTGAAATATTTGCTGATTATAGTAATGTTAGCTCTGTTTCTTTTAAAGAGATGCTTTCATGACTATGCCTTGATAAAAGGCCATGTCATACTTACTTGAGATTTCAGATTCATATGCTTCTATTTCTTCATATTTGCCATTTCTGATAAAAATCATTATCATGGTCTTGTTCTGAAATTTTTGTACAATAAGAGCAGTTGAACAGTTCTGGGGTTCTTTTTTGGGGTAAGGGCAGACGATAAGTCAAGTTGCCAGTGCAGCTGTGTGTAACCAAATACTGTGCGTTCTTGAGGTGTTCCTTAACCAGTATTTCACCTTAGTAGTATCATAGATACAAGTAATAGTGAATGGAATTGGAAAGGGTACTGAATAAATGTACAAAGATAGCAG